GGAGAGGTTTTTGCTATATGGCACGTGCGCTCGCCAGACAGACAGAGACAGAGAGATAGAAAGCGAGAAATGACCCCCCAAAGGGGATGGTCACGCCGCAATCCCTTCTCCTCCATTCTCCTCTCAGGATCTTGGGCACGCACGCACACGCGCCCAGTGTGAGTTTTAAGCCACCAGGTCCAGGACACGAACCACGGTCGACTACATGGGAGTCCAGCGACATAGCCATTACGCTAACTGCTAGTCCCAATCCCTGAATTCTTCTTGATTGAAGCCAATGGGCTGAGACCTAGACATAGACATCATCCAGAGAAGTTCAGCAAGGAAAAACACTGATGACAAGCTTTGTCACTAACATGGCTGGCCACAGAAAGGAAGAAAGAGGAAGGAATCTATAGCTTAGAGGTAAAGTTCTCCACCAAAGTGTCCCCAATGTCCAGATTTGGGGAATTTTTAAATTATAATATTAAAAATATTCAAGAAATATAAAGTATTTCTCAAATTCAGGTAAGAACCAACACCTACTGTGATAGAACATACTCAACTCTTCCTTGACTCTGAGTTAACAGTTAACAAGCATCAATTTCTTCCTATGAAGATGAGGGGTAAAAATGGACCCAACAGAATGAGATAAATCACTAAAAAGAAACAAAAGAAATGCTCTCCTACCCAGAGAAGTTAAGTGTCTTGAAAGGAAGAGGAAAAATATTGTTTTCAAAAAAAACTGATTCCTGTTCTCATAAAGGTCAAGAAAGGATAATTCCTTTTTTTTTTCTTTTAATGACTAGTCATAAAGATGTAACAACTAAGTTTAGGAAAAACTACTTACACTTGAGAATTTAAAACTACAATGGGGAGTAGAAGAAATTTATGACTGACTCGGTATAAAACAATTATAAAAAGAAAGGACATGTAGGACAGAAATACAAACTCTTACGAGAGTATAAATGCTATCTGAGAAAATATTGAATAACAGAAGCCCTTTGTAGAACTTAAGACTCGAAGTTCACAAACTGAAGCAGAACACTGTGAACTAGAAAAAGAGATAAAATTCAGAGACTTCTGGAGACTATGGATTTTATCTCCTTATACATAATTTGGTATGGTAATCAGCATGGTTTGGTCTATCCAGATGCCAGCTGTTTACTTGACCTTGAAGTCTCTAAGAATACAGGTTGAATATCCCTTATCCAAAATGCCTGGAACCAGAATTTAGATTTTTTTTAGTATGTTCATACTCATAATAAAATATCATGGGTTTGTGACCCAACTCTAAACATGTAATTCATTTGTTTCATATTCACCTTATATATATAACCTGAAGGTAGTTTTATACAATACTTCTGTATTGCAGCATTCTCAAAGTGACCCATCTCCAAGTTGGATGTGGAATTTACTACTTGTTATGTTGGCACTCAGAAAGTTTCAGATTTTGGAGCAGTTAAGATTTTGCATTTTCACAGGTCCAGCAGGTGCATGGTAGTTGAGGGACTGGACTCTCACATGGCTGATTGCAGTTCGAGTCCTAGACCTGGCAACTTGCTCGCTCGTTCTCTCTCTCTCTCTCTCTGCCTCTCTGGTAAACACACATGACCTATAGCAAATAAATAATAATAAAATAAAAATTAAATAAAATAATTTTTAAAGATTTTGTATTTTCAGATCAAGGATGCTCAATTTGTAAACATCAACAAAAAGTACACTAATGACTTTCACTAGAATAAACCAAAAGCTTCAGGACATAGAGTACCTTCTTAAACTTTCAGTTTTTTAAAAGCCATAGTACTTCACCCAATTATCAGGTTTTAATCAGTATACAGGCCTAGAATTCCTTACATGAAAACCAGGTATTCTTAATAAAGGATCCTATACTGGATTATATCATGAATTGTGTTCCTAGTATTCACCTAAAGGCTCCAATGACCATTCTCCCGGGTGAATGAGAAAGGAAAAATATACATGAATTTTTCATGAACCATGTCACCAGCCCACAGCATGATGGTTGGGGAGCTGGACGTGGCATCCTGAAAAACACATCAAGCACATGTGTGTACATGCCCAAAATCCCAAAAGGTGAAGGAAATGAGACTGTGGCATAACCATTCCCCACGGGTGGTGCTTTCTCACCTTCTTTCTCTCTCAGGCAAGTGCACAAGTCTTCTGGAAATTTTCAAAAAAATAAAACTAAATAAATAAAAGAAAAACATGTACATGGCAGGAATCCAGGAATCCTTTATTAAACAAAGGCTAATGGCACAAAGAAATTGTATGAGCAGGTTACTCAAACCACTCTTCCATACCACCATGCCTCCTTCAAACAATATGGTGAATTTCACAGAGGTGGAAAACATCTGCACCTGTCTTACACATGGCTTTAACCTAGTTCCAGTAACATCCAGAAATAGACTGGCATTACATGCTAACCTAAAGGACGCCCTGCCTGAGAAACAAAAAATCTTCACCATAGACAGACTATCATTACATCTATTTTGGTAGATTTGGTTAAAAATCTATGTTTTAGCTAAAAATTGCTTTAGTTAAAAAAATCTATGCATATTAATCATTAGCTATTTGTGCAACATGGTTAAGAATTCTGAAGCAGCAAAACTGGAGAATGGATGAATGTATTTATTTTAGGGTTTTTTGCCTTAAGGCATGTGCACTGGCCTCAGGAGTGGAAAACTTATTATAAAATAGTCTAAAGAGGAGATACATGGATAAGGCTCTAAGAACTGCCACATAACAAAAATTTTAGTTCCCATGTGGTGTTCACTGAAGGGCCTCACTATGGAAAAAGTCCTTAAGTGGGTAGAAAGAAAAATCTATTCTGTGGATGTCAGTCAGCCTCCTGCATCTGTCTCTCCAATGCTTGCTCAACAAGATGATGAAGAAGGTTCCCAGTGTTGTGGATAAAGTTCCTACCCTGTGCACTGATAGACCAAATTGTAACAATTCACAGAAAATTCAATTTAAAAACAGACAAGTAATTTAAAACCAAACCAATGACTTTATACAATGAACAACTATATTATCAAAAGACATCATTTAAATAAAAATATTTTGGAGCCAACCTAATTTGGTATTATATTCCTTAGGACGTTGCCACTATATCATAGAAAGTAGTTTGGGTCATAATCCCAGTAAATACAGTTTTGGATACCATAATCCTGAATGTGGAAATTCAAAGAGAACAACAACTCAAAAATGATGTTTAAAAGTTATTTTCTAGAACATTTACTTAGAGTTTTAAAAGATAATTTTTTGAGAAACATAAAAACATGATAGAACACTCCATATGCCACTTTTACACAATAAAATATATAAGAACACATAGTTTTGCAGTCATAAACATTCAGGCATACAAACAAGGTACA